AAGAACTTCACTTCTAGACATAAAAATGCTTTTTAAACTAACAGCTTTCTTCTGCTCGGTAGGATATGATTTGTTGGGCGTATATGTTGACCTGGAACCAACAAGGAGATGACTAAGTAGGAGGAAAATGGTTTTAACATGCCTCTGCCTTGCCAAGAAATATGGAAACAATAAGAGATTTGTCAAGTCTGTGGGTCATCTAGCCTTGTAGTGATATATGGTATTTCTGTGTGCATGACATACTTGGTGTATTAAGCTGTTTTTTTTCTGAAGCATTATTGTGCTTTAGAAATGTGACTTTCTTTGTCCCAGCTGCTGTTTGTCACCTCCTGGCCATGCTGTTTACTGACCAGATGTGTCTGAGTAGGTGGGAGATTTGATGTCTTGTCATCATCATGGCAGGCACAAAGTGAGTCTGTGGTCTTCCTTGTTTAATGGTGTAAATGGATAGCCAGGACTGTGCAATGTTAGGTACTTGCCAAATCCTTCTGGTCCATGCACTGGAGCTGTGCAGGAGGCTTCTCTCGTTCTCCTGTTCCTGTTTTCCCAGCCACAACACACCCTGTGCAGCCCTTCCTTGTCACTCTGGGATGTGTTGTGTCACTCATATGCTAAGCAGCCTCTTCCCAAGGCTCCAGACAGTGCACAGAGGATTCCTGGTATGGTTCCTTCTTTGGAAGAGAAGTACATACTACTGTTTTTCAGGCTGAACAACCCTAGCTCTCTGTCTTTTCTCAGAGGAGAGTTGTTCCAGCCTTCTGACCATTTTGTGTTTCTTCTGTGGCCTCACTCCAGCAGATCCCTCTTCTTTGGAAGAGAACCAGCAGCTTGAAAAATGAGTATTCCGTTTAATGAGAAGTGAAAGCTCTCTGTGCTGTTTTCTTTTCATTTAAGAGAAGAACTGTGCTCTTGGAGGGCTGAGGACTAATAATCCCACAGAAGAAATCACAGGAACACCATTTTCTCATATCAGAATAGATAGTACCACAGTGGTTGGTTGCTCTGAGATGTGCTGGTGGCCAGATTCAAATTCTGGATGTTTCAGGAGCGAGTCTGAACCACTCTGTGACCTCTGTCTCTCCTCCTTTTGGCACTTGTAAGAGTGACCTAATAAATATATTATTGCAACAGATGTGATTTCATATCCTCTTACAAACCACACGTAGACCAGTCACTGAGGGATGGCCCTGTTCAGTGGAGAGGTCAAAATGTGGAACAAGGCCTTAACAAGGAAGCAATGGTTTTCAAGAGAAGAGATTTTTACTAATACATTATATTGATATAAATAAGATTTGCTAAAAAATAAAATGCAGTGAATTAATTAAATCATAGAATGGTTTTGGTTGGGAGTGACCTTTGAAGATCATCTAGTCCAACCACCCTGTCATGGGCAGAGACATCTTTCACTCCCTTTCATAGATGAGGTTGCTCAAAGCCCCATCCAACCTTACCATGAACACTTTCAGGAATGGGGCATACAACTTCCCACCACCCTCATTGTAAACATGTTTTCCATATGTCCAATTTAAATTTTCCTGGTTTAAAACTATTGTCCCTTGTCCTGTCACCTAAAGGCCCTGGTAAGAGCCTGTCTTTTTCACAATGTCTTTAAATATTAAAAAGCTATGATAAGGTCTCCTTGGGGGTTTCTGTTTTTCAGGCTGAACAACCCTAGCTCTCTGTCTTTTCTCAGAGGAGAGTTGTTCCAGCCTTCTGACCATTTTGTGTCTCTTCTGTGGCCTCACTCCAGCAGATCCCTGTCTGTCTTGTTCTGGGACCCCAGAGCTGGATGCAGTGCTCCAGGTGGGGTCTCACCTGAGCAGGGCAGAGGGGAATGTCAGTAAAAAATGTTAATATTTATAGCATGCTTAGTAAGTGGTTACAGTGAGCAGCAAATAATTGTGAATTGACTTTCTGACAATGGGAGTTCCTGCCAGGCTGCATTGCCTTTTTGGGCTGTTTACTGTACTTTTTCCTTTCTTGCAAGATGAAAATAAGCTAAATTGTTCTCTGGCATTGTCAGCATTACCCCAGAGGTCTTTGGAGAAGCCAGTTCCTTTGGTTCCTCCCTACTGCATCAGTCAGAATAATACCATAGTCTATCTTTAAGCAGCATATGATGTTTGTTTTTGTTGTTTAGATACTTATCTGTTATTAAATACCTATTATTAGTAGATATTTAGAATAGAGACTTGACAAAGTAAAGGCCCTGTCAAGCCTCTAAAGGGGAGAAATGATGCCTTAAGTTTTAGCTTTCATATTTTCCAGAGTCTGTGCTGCCTAGGTGTGTAGTTCTGAGCTTCATATTAAGTGTCAGTAAGCTCTCTTCACAGAGTGGGTAGACAAAACAATTACTTTTCCAGCTTGAGACCAAGGACAATCATTAAAAGTTTCAGGCCCAAAAGCATAAACAACAGTGGACTGAAGAGAGAAAACAAGACAAATGGGACTTCATAATCTGAAGCTGTAATTGGACAATTATCCCCAATATGCAGATGGACCAAGACTTACTAAAGTGTGAGACCTTGTGACTGGTCATCCATTTTTTGTGACCATTTTAGGTCCATCTTGGGTGTAGCCCTGGCCAGGGTCTTGTACTGCCCAAGATATAAAGGCCTTTTAAGGCTTTTTAATAAAAACATACCTTATCATTTAACTGTCTGGTCTCTGTCCTAGGTCATCCTTTTCCAAGCATCATCTAGTCCAAACATTTGTACTGGATTGTATTTCTCCCTCTGCCTTCTTAAGAAGGAATTCCAGCTGAATAGGGAATGTCTCCCTTCACTCGAGCTTGTGTTTTTCCGGATAGGAAATAAGATTTATTTATATTGGTTTAGTAATTTTTCTTTTAGCATTATGTAACCTATACAAGGCCGTAAGTATGAGTTTAAGTAGCATGTTCTTTATTAGCTTATTTTACAGTCCTTGGCCTGTTCCACTTCAAAATTCTCATAAGCAGCATAAGTTGGCCAAAGTACATACTTTGTGTTAATTAAATCTCTTAAACAGTGTCTAATTTTCTTTTTCCTCTTGAAGTTGGTGAGAGATTAATAATAAAAGAAAATTAGTTGTCTGATAGCATCATGTATTTGATCAGTGCAAAGACAAGACAAGTGCCTCAAGGTGTATGGTGAACTCTTCATTCCTATGTGAACATTCAGCATATTAAAAGTTGACAACATTATTTGAACATTCATCCTGACAAGATAATACTGTAAAAGATCAAATTCGCGAACTGAGCAAGCACTAGAACATGAAACAGAAACAATTTTATAAAGTCTTACTTTCTTCCGTGGGTTTGTTCCTGTCACAGTTTGTACTTTATCTGAAAGTAGATTTGAAAGATCTGCAACTGATACTGATGAATCTAAGATTTTGTTTGAGATTATTTCCTCCAAAGCATAAAAAATAATTGGACTGTTGTTAATACAGAGTTTTGGGACTAAATGGTTTGTTTCCTCTCCTGACCTCTTGACTGAGGCAACACAATTGTAGTGGACAAATCAGGAAAACAAAATTACCTTTCTTAAAAATCTCTTACGATGAGATTTTGTGTGAAGAGCAATTGAGAGCATCCTGGGAGAATAAGATGTTAAATGTCGATGAAATGTTAACCTGCTTCTTCTTCATATTTGATGAAGTTATTGCCCTAGTTTTATTTTCATTTTGGTCTGCAAATGTTTTCAAAAAGGTTTAACTTGCTCATATTCATAAGATAGTTCTGACTTGCTTCTTGGTTTCTATCTTGTTGTCCTTTAGCAAGAACTCGATGTCACCAGTTGTAGCTTCCAATTGGCATGGGGGCCATTCAAAATACTTTCCATTTTCCACTGAGGTACATTCTTAGAAGAGCATTTCCAATCCAAATAACTGGCATTTATTACTTTTTAATTGCTTAGTGTGATTCTTGCTTACATTTGCTGTTTTAATGTCTTTTCCTGTCTGTAAAATGAGACTCCCAGAGGGCACATGCGTGCAGTTACTGAATTCAGTTTACATAGCTTGATGGATGTTTTGGGAAAAGCATATTGTGTGTATGTGCAGTTTGTCACAGATGGTGTCCTAACAAGAAAAAAATGGTGCTCATGCTGAAGGAAAATGAAATGAAAGTAACTAAATTAAATAGCAAAAAATTGATGGCCCGAGAGCTTAGTGTTGTTTTTTCCAGCTGCTGTGGGGAAGGTGGTCAGTGTGGCACACACATGCTTGAGCTCAGCAGACTTTCTCAAGTTGCACAAATAGGCAACAAACAATGGGCAGGAGAAGTTTCTCTAGGCAGTTTTGCTCCTCTGAATATTTTTTGTGTCCCACTTTTAAGTCCAGTGTCTTTTTTTTGTGAGCTTTTTGTGAAACCTGGTTGTGAAATTAGGTAGGGATCTTAATTCCATATTAAAGAAACAAAAAGGTATATTGCTAAGTGTTTGAGAGTATAAAGAAAAGCCTTAGAAGTTAAAAGAGTTCTGAAGCTTTAAAAAAGGCAAGGTAGGCAAAATGCAGACATTCCACCCCTAATAATTTGACTTAAGGCGGGCCATTTGTTTACTCAGGTTTATTTTGGTGGACCAGTGAATTTTTAGAGCTCTAGTTTTGGTAGCGTGAGTCTGGTGAAAATAGTATGACTCCAGTGCCCTTCTGGCAATGCAGATTTCAACTCCTTCCTCTTCTGGCATACCTAAATTAGGAGAGGGCTTATTCTTCCCAGTTTAGGATTGCTTGTGGAGGAGAAAAAACAGGGCTTGCATATCACTGAAAACCAAGGAGATGTGTGTTATGGACCTGCATTTAGAGTCTGTTTAGGTTCTGTCAGGAAGGGTCAAGCTCTGTGGCAAACTGTTCTATGCACTGCTGTAAGTTCAAAACATCCTTAAATGATTCTGAACTAGCTTTTCATCGCCCCACCTAAATTGTGTCTACTGGGTTTGTTCTGATGTCTCTTGGATTGCAGATGAACTAATTGTATGAACAGTCAGATTAACTCTGGACCTTCCTTTGCTTTGTAGGACTCCTCAGTGGGCAGACATCTCCAACCAACACCAAGCTGGAGAAGCTGGACCCTCAGCAGGTGCTGCAGCTGTGCCTCCGGTACCAGGACCACCTCCACCAGTGTGCAGAGGCCGTGGCCTTTGACCAGAACGCACTGGTGAAGCGCATCAAGGAGGTGCGGAGCAGGGAAGGGCCGGGGCTGTGTGCCAGGGCCATGGGGGCTGGCTGGGCATGGCCCTGGCTCACCTGCAGCAGCCAGCAGAGCAGCCTCGGCAGGGCAGAGGATCCCTGCGGGTGTGCCCTGCAGGCCACATCCCCGGGTGTTCCCTGTGGGTCCTGTCAGGTTGTGTGTTTGCTGGCTGTGCCTGAGGAGGCCTGGCCATAAACAGCAGCTGCTCCTCTGGAATGGCAAGTGCTGCAAGCAGCTCTCAAAGAAGTAAAAGATTACTGAAGTTTTTAAGGTAGTATTCCTTATTTAGGTCTGTATAGCATACATTTTATTATGCCCCATGGTTAGGGTCTAGTTTAAGGAACGAAACTGTTATCTTAACGTATTCTGTGGCTGGAGAAGGTAATACTTAAGTGGATTTGTAGAGCTGGATTTGTAGAGCTGGATTTGTTTTCAAAGCCTGCAACATGCCATCTCATTTCTGACCTCTATGGCAAAAATATTTCCTGTGGTGCTGCTGTTACCACAAACCAAACAGTGATCTGTTTAAATATTGAATGATACTGTTTGGGATTGAATTAATTCCTGGGATGGTCATCCTGCAGTGGGATTGTCTTTCTTATGTTATCAACTACTGATGTTGGAAGCACTAGAATGGCTGCCAGATTTTCTTTTTTTAAAATCAAGACAGACTGGCATGACAGGGAAATGTTGCTTGAGGTGTTTTCTCCGATACTCCCAGATGTGTAAAAGAGCTAGTGAATTCTGCATATGTCAAAAGTCCTTGAGATCAAATACCTTTTTGATATTGTGTCAAAAAATGTTTTTGAGCACGTGGTTAATTTTTATTCACGCAGTATAAACACTGACCTTGATTTGTTGTTGCTTTATTGGCTTAGAGTTAAGAAAATCTCACATGACAAACTGGGTAATAAATTTGATTCATGGGCTGTTTTGAGAAGCTGCTGTCATCATGAAGTTGTAAGTCCAAAACAATGTGGGAAGCATTAAAAAGGCCTTTTTACTTTGGTGTATCAAGATCTGAGGCCAGCTATTACACAAGATGTAAAGATATTTGCAGATGTTGGTGACTCAGATCTCACAGTCTCAGAAATGGGATTTAATTGCCAGCCTAATGACAGTGTACTGCATTAATCCAGGCAGATAGTAATTCTTTCGGCTGTTAAAGTGTGAGAGGGAATAGTGATGCGATTTAAAGTTTTGGTAGACATCACCAGTACAATCTTCATTAATTGGGTTTGACTTCTATAGGGCAAGTGGCAGAGTCCCTTTCAAATTAGCTACGGTGGTTTTCTTCTGGTTCATAAGACTTGTGATTATCTTTCATCTAAAATAAATTAAATGATGATACTTATTTTCTCACTAGCTTCTTTATAAAAGACTCCTTGGACAAAGAGATGGAGAAATGGGGAGTTGCAGAAGTCAGGGAACTGACAAATCAACTGTGGTTTGTTTTGGGTTTTTTGGTATTTTTTTGTCACAACTTTAAAGTAACTTAAGATGCTTTCAGTCCCTCTGCCAAATCTGGTGGGTTTTTACTGTTCATTTTCCTAATAATTTTTAAATGTTTTTCTTGCTTTGGCTGTTCTGAATGTGTGTTCTGGAGGATCTGGGTGGGACCCACTTGGCTTAAATCACTTTTTCCAAATTGTTTGGGCTCTCCTTGATGCACTAAATTGAACCACTGCTGACAGTTGTTGACAAGACAGGGTGCAGCTGAACCAGAGCAGGGGATGTCTCTCCTTACAAGTGCAGACAAAGGAGATCGCCTTTGGCTTCACCGATTTGTCAGCAGTGATTTAATTTTGCCATATACACAAAGCTTTGACCCTTAGTAAAGCATAAAAATGAAAGAGAAAATCAAGTGTATTGTGAAAAGCAGAATGTGTGCACAAGCTGGGACAGTAAATTCTTTTATCCCCATTTTGGTAGCCAGTATTTCCCTTTCCCTTGCTTTAACACTGTAAGCACTGAAGTGTTTTTCTTCTGATAATAGAGTTGTCAAGTGACAGATGTTTTTAACTTTCTACAAAATGTTGGTAGGCTTCAGTCTTTGATTTCCTATGATTTGTCTGAAGTATGTTCACTTTTCAGACTCTGTACTAATAGTCCTGCTGTATAATATGCTACACTCACACTGCCTGCAGCCAGGATTTTTTTTAGTCTTTCCTTGACAAAATGTCCCAGAGCAAATATCTTTTGTCTGTGTCACCAGGAAAGAAGTTTCCTGGATTCTGCCAAAACTCAGAAGTACTGCTGTAAATTAATAGATCCTCAATAACTCAGAATTGACTGTGGTGGTTTGCAAATCAGCACATAGTCTGACTTAAAATGGTTCTGAATGGGAAAGTGAGTGATCTAAAGAAAAAAAACTCTACTTGCATGACAGTAGCGACTGCAGGTCTGAGCAGACTCATCTGTGCATTCTGTGTTTTCAGGGAGCAGTCTAGCTTTGCTCTCCATCTCATTTCCCAGTGTAGCCAGAATTTCTTTGCAGTGTTAGCTGGATCCATATCTGCTCCTAAATGTAGAACCTGTGCAGCTTCCAGGTGTCTGTGTTCTCTCTTGAGCAGAAATATATTTATCCAAGAGATTCCTTGAAGGGGAAAGAGTTGAAGGTGTGATGGAAGGTGGTTGGTTCAGGTGCCTTTTTTCAGCAGTTGTTCATGCCAGAGTGAGTTTTGGTTTTGAGGGGCAGTGATTTACTTAAGACAAGAGGTTTTATCTTCACTGTCAAGAAAAAAAAAAAAAAAGAGGATGTGCTTGCACCTTTTTAGGGAAAATACTATAGATTTGCATTGTAACTTGTTGAAGTTTTGAGGAACTCCAGCTGCTGTGGGTTTGATGGAGCCACATGTGCTCTCTTCAGCAGGACTGCCTGCCCCAGTTTTGTGATCTGCAAAACAAAGGGTTTCTAACAAAAACCCCTTAGAAGTTGGAAGACAAATGTTGACCAGCTCTAAAGGTATGACTGGGGGAAAGCAGCAAATAAGTGGGGAGAGGACTACTTTATATTGTCTTTACCAGTGCAGGGTATCTGTTTTGGGTGCCAGGGAGAGAATTTCAAGAGTCATGTGATAGGGGATGGTGAATACCAGGGAATAGAGAACAAGTAGAATAGGTAAAAGCTGGGGAACAGAGCTGAATTTTCAGAAATGGCCCATTATTTTCTGTGCCTTCAAAATAGTCTAGTTTCAGTGCCTTAAAAAAGGTTTATTGTGTGCACAAGGTACTAAGCTTCTCAAAAATCACATCTTACAAAATATCTGAAGGTAAGCATCCAAAACCTACTAGTAACATGCGAAAATTGAGGCCTGTCTTCTTTCTATGAAAGCAGAAGGGAAACTGAAAGCCCTCTAAGCACTTTTCAAAGGAGCTTTGAGTGAAAAGATCTTCAGTATTTCTTAGTAGACTTCCAGCATTATCAATGGGGTTGTGCTTTTGAAGTATCCAATGTACCCTTAAAGGCAGATGTAGTTCCTGGATGCACTGTGCTTAAAATGTATTTGGAAATGGGTTACTGGGAGGGCTCTGATGCTTTGCCTTGAAAACAAATGCTAATGCAGTGTTTAATTCTAGCTTTTATTGCCATAGGAATCTCAGACTACGAATAATTTTGAAATCAGAGCAGTTTTTACAATATAAAATGAAATTTTAAATGTCTCAGTCTAAGCTGGTATGCATCTATGGGGTAGAGTTGGGGGAAACCCCCCCTGTTTTCAAATATAATAAATATTACTTTTATATTCATAATAGTTAGATAAATTTTGTCCAGGCAGGTATTAATGTCAGTAATTGGTTTGCCATGCAGAAAATTGCAGTGTATAGCTTGTTTCATACCTATAAATTCTTCTATGGGAATAGTTCATTCTTTTGAACAAATACTCCAGAATAACATGTATATGGATTTGAGTTGTTTTGGTTTCTTTTTTTTTTTGTTTGTTTATTTGTTTTTTGCTTTACCAGCTTGCTGCAAAAAAGTAAATGTTCCTTTATTTGAAGTTTCTCTAGTATTAAGTTGTCCAGAAATACAGTCCTTAAATATTTGACAAATAAATAACTTTTGCAGCCACACAAACACAACATCATGTGTCCCAATTCAGCTTTTTAAAATTATGAGCAGAAGTTCAGTCATTATTTCCTATAAGCAGCAAGTCTTACGCATTTGACAAGAAAATCACTTTTATATACAAGCATGTTGTACCTTACCTCATGCATTTAAGACTCATAAATTGTGATTCAGCCATTATGTGTCACTGTGTGTGCCCAACAATCTGGGGATTTAGGGATTTCAGTTTATCTTTTTGTGAATGCTATTTATGTGGCCTTTTGAGCTTTATTTGCAGTTATGTTGCTTCTGTGACATAAAGCAGGTTCTTACCAGAGACACCCCATCATTCTGTGGCAAAACCTGCTGGGGAATGTGGTGTGCAGAAGTCATGGGCATGGTTTTGTTCACCTTGAGGGAAGGATGGGTTTGCTGTAGGCATGGCCCATGGCTTTAACCCCCACTCTGTAGGGGTGGGAGGGCTAGCTGTGGTAGGGACAGCTTGTAGCAGTCTGATGTTCCCTGCTGGAGATTGAAGGGCAAGGTCTCTTAAGATGGTGATAAAGGGAAAAGCTATCCTAAGTGCAGGAAAGTATTCCGTCACCAGGAATGAATGAGATCTGGGCCTGAAACTTTGGCAGGACTTAGCCTGCCTGGGGACTATGTTAGCCACAGGTGCAGTGAGACAGACTCAAGGTACACATATGCTGTAAGCACACAGAGCTTCTACTACGTGAAACACCACAGGCACTTTTCCTAACTCCTTCCCCCTCCTATGGGCAGAAAGATCTGGAGTGCCTGGGATTCATCCCATACTCCAGTCACAGCTGAGCAGTGTCCCTTCAGGGAATGGACTCAAATGAAGAAGTTTGAGGGAGGTGTTTTATGCCTGGCCTTTGGTTTGGTTTGTTTTAGGACTCAGCTGAGTGAGGTCTTT